GCATCACTGATGAGATTAAGAGATTTGCTTACATAATACCAAAAAGATGACAAGTTAAAATGGAATGCCATTAATAAAGGTGGTAAGCTTGAGATTACAACATATGTTGAAAGTTCATTCAAATGAGTGGCATTCTTTGCAAGTATAAGCAAGAGGCAGCTTTAGAAATAAGAGCTGCTGTTTTTTCCTCTTTGTCAAGGGTAAAAAAATGAAATCATTCAATGTGACCTGCACCACAGATATTAATACCAAAAAAATCACCAACATGAGACAGAAAATCCATGAATCCACGTAAGAAGATTCCGTTCAACAGTTTGGTTTGCTGGCTGGGTCTTCCTGCTGAGAAAAAACTATCCTGCGGTGTAGATGACCAAACTAAATTACTAGGCCGTGGCCGGTCTCGGTGGCTCAGGCCTGTAACCCCAGCGTTTTGGGAGGCCACGGTGGGTGGATCACCTGAAGTCAGGAGCTCGAGATCAGCCTGGCCAACACGGTGAAACCCCATCTCTACTAAAAATACAAAAATCAGCCGAGTGCTGTGGCGCGCGCCTGTCATCCCAGCTACTTGTGAGGCTGAGGAAAGGGAATCACTCGAACCCAGGAGGCAGAGGTTGCCGTGAGCCGAGGTCGCGCCACTGTACTCCAGCCTGGGCGACAAGAGTGAAACTCCATCTCAAAAAAATAATAATAATAAAAATAAAAAGTAATTAAAAATAAACAAAAAATTTTAAACACAAATCAAACAACAACAATCCTATTGCTTAAGCCACTTTTAGTGGGGTCTAGGGGTTTTTTTGCAGAATGAATTTTAACGGATACATTTGGAAACATTCTTATTCAGATTATGATTTACCAACTAGAAAAAGGATTGTAAAGGGAAAGAGAAATAAAAATTCTACCTTTTTGGGTACACATCCAACATTCACCTGGAAAAAAAAAAAAGAGACAGACTTTAACAATATTGAATTCAAACCATCAAACAAATCTGCAAGAAATGCACACTAAGCATCAAGCGAGGAAGCTTCCTTGGGTTCCAAGTCACAGTATACTAAATTCTAGTTACTTTCTTTGTTAAAAAAGGATAAGAACATTATTTTCCTTCTATGATGAGGGAGAGAAGTTTATTCATCAGCATTTTCTCAAGGAAAGCAGACAGAGAAAGGACAATCAGCCCATCTGGGCAGCTGTCTAAGAGGACTTCTGGGGAAAGTACTGCAGAATACATGGATAAACACCCAAGATGGGCCAGGCCTGGTAGTTCACACCTGTAATTCCAGCATTTTGGGAGCTGAGGCAGTTGGATTGCTTAAGCCCATGAATTCGAGATCAGCCTGGGCAACAAGCGAGACCACGTCCCTACAAAAAAAATTAGCTGGGTGTGGTGGTGCACGCCTGTGGTCCCAGCTACTCAGGAGGCTGAGGTGGGGGGACCACTTGAGCCCGGGAGGACAAGGCTGCAGTGAGTCATGATCATGATCGTGCCAGTGCACTCCAGCCTAGGTGACAGTGCAAGACCCAGCCTCAAAAAAGAAACACACACACACACACACAAAGGTTGAACACAGAGATACTGGTGAATACTCAGCAGAAGCACAAGAATTTAAAGTACATGGCATGGAACTTGGGATGTTGATTAACCATTAGTAAAGAAACTTGAGAAAACCTAAATAAATATTAGATCTCATAAAATGACTTTGATTTATAACTACTTGGCATTTGGCCTAAAGAAGTAACCAAAGATGTAGAAAAGCGAAATGCACAAATGCACAGATTATATCATGTTATGTACAAATACATATTTGGTTACAATCATTTCCATTTCACTGTTAGTTAATATATAGAAAAATACTTACGGAATAAAAGTAGGAAAAGCAAGACCATAAAACTATTTTTTTTTTTTTTTTGAGACAGAATCTCCCTTTGTTGCCCAGGCTGGAGTGCAATGGTGTGATCACAGCTCACTGCAATCTCTACCTCCCGGCGATTCTCCTGCCTCAGCCTCCCGAATAGCTGGGACTGTAGATGTGCACCACCACGCCCAGCTAATTTTTGTATTTTCAGTAGAGATGGGGTTTTGCCATGTTGGCCATACTGGTCTCGAACTCCTGACCTTAGGTGATCCACCTGCCTCAGCCTCCCAAAGTGCCGGGATTACAGGCGTGAGCCACTGTGCCCAGTCAGAAAACTGCATTATTTTGTTTGTTTGGGTATTTTTTGAGACTGAGTTTCACTATATCGCGCAGGCTGGAATACAGTGGCAAGATCTCGGCTTACTGCAACCTCTGCCTCCCGGGTTCAAGCGATTCTCATGCCTCAGCCTCCCGAGTAGCTGGAATTACAGGCGCCTGCCATCCTGTCTGGCTAATTTTTGTATTTTTACTAGAGATGGAGTTTCACCTTGTTGGCCAGGCTGGTCTCGAACTCCTGACCTCAAGTGATCTACCCACCGTGGCATCCCAAAGTGCTGGGATTACAGGCATGAGCCACCACACCCAGCCGAAAGCTACATTTTTTAAAAGTAAAGATAACAGATAATTTAAATAATGAAATATTTTTCATCTGTCAGATTGGCAAAAATTTTAAAAGTTGATTATAACTAGTGTTAGCAAACACATCCTGATTGGCCCAGCAATTCTCCTTTTAGAGTAACCTAGAAAAGTAGTCACATATTATGCTCCTGTGTCCAAAGATGCATTTATAGGGATATTCCCTGAAGCTTGGTGATAATGGGTAACTACAGACACATTAAATATCCATCAGCAGGGAAGTATCAAATAAATTGTTATACACTGAGTCTGTGGAATATTCTGCAGCCATTTAAAAAGGGCAAGGTAGATTTCTATGCACTATATGGAAAGAGTTCTAACATATACTGTTATGCATCAAAAGAAAGTTGCAGAATAGTAGTTATGCCATGACCCAATTCGTATTTATACGCAGTATGTGTATGTGTATATATATAGGTGTAAACACAATTTGGCTATACTCCAAGCAATCAACACACATTTTGTTCTATATTCTTTTTTTTTTTTTTTTTTGAGACAGTCTGCTCTGTCACTCAGGCTAGAGTGCAATGGCGCAATTTCAGCTCACTGCAACCTCTGCTCCCCAGGATCAAACAATCCTCCCTCCTCAGCCCAAGAGTAGCTGGGACTACAGGCGTTCACCACCATGCCTGGTATTTTTAGTAGAGACAGGGTCTTACCACATTGCCCAGGCTTGTCTTAAACTCCTGAGCTCAAGTGATCCACCCACCTTGGCATCCCAAAGTGCTAGGATTACAGGCATGAGCCACCATGCCTGGATATACTTTTTTTTAAAAAAATAAAAAATATTTTTCTAAAAATACAGAGACAGAGTCTCACTATGCTGCCCAAGCTGGTCTCAAACTCCTGGGCTCAAGCAATCCTCCTAACTCGTCCTCCCAAAGTGTTCAGATTACAGGTGTGAGCCACCATACATGGCTTATATATGCTTTTTATTTTATTTTATACATAAAAATTAAAACTACTTTACAAAAATAGAGACAAGGTCTCAGTATATTGCCCAGGCTGGTCTTGAACTCCTGAGATCAAGTGATTCTCCCGCCTCGGCCTCCCAAAGTGCTGGGATTATAGGCATGAGCCACCGCGCTTGGCCTGTATATGCTTTTGGAAAACAGTTTAATGATCACTCACCAAAATTCACAGGAGAATCTTAGATGTTTACAAGCAGCAATTATTCCACTATTCCTGTCAGCACCGCATCCTTCATGGTAGAGTGTCACAAGTAAAAGTTTCTGGTTGTTTCATCTACTTAAAACCAGATATAAGAAACAACCTAAGTCTTAGCAACTTTAGGCTTCAATGTAAAATCACGAAAGCTCTCGGCACTTTAGGAGGCTGAGGCAGGAGGACTGCTTGAAGCCAGGAGTTCATGACCAGCCTGGGCAACAAAGCAAGACCCCATCTCCATAAATAATAAAAATAAGTTAGTTGGGCACAGTAGTGTGCCTGTAGTCCTAGCTACTCAGGACACTGAGGTGGGAGGGTCAAGAGTTCAAGGCTGCAGTCATGCCGCTGCACTCCAGCCTGGGTGACAGAGCAAGACCCTATCTCCAAAAAAAAAAAAAAAAAAAAAAAACTCTCTTGGAAAGGTTTTCTCTCTGAAAGCAGTTCCCCTGTCCAGAAGATGCTTACAGCCCACACATCTTCTTCCAACTGGCCAAGACAGTTAAAAACTTCAAAATGCCCCAAGAGGTCCAAAAATGTAGTCAAGGCAAGTATCAAACAGGCTACACACTTTCTAGGTGTGACAAATCTCAGAGTTTTGAGAAAGACATTAAAATCATCATGGAATCCTTGGAGGACTGAGACACTAAAGCACCAGTGCAGACGGTCTTAGAGGAAGTCTGGAACCAATACTTCTTCTGTCAGTAATAGGCCTTTCTAGACTTCAATCTAGAAGAAGATGATTTTTTTTTGTGCTTTGAGTTAGGAATCTGTCCTTTTGATTTTGACTTTCTAACAGCTTCCCTCATATGTTTGGGTTGTAGTGGTGGCATTTCTCCCCACTTCTGACACACATCCAGTGCTGCTTCTACCACCTCCCAGACAAAAACCTTGGAAAGACCAGACAGCAATAACAACATTCTGAGACATAGAGGTGCCACTGATGGACTGGATCGGCCTTTTGATGGCTGCCTTAGGGGACACTGAGTGGTAATATATTTCATAATGGTTCAGCTGCTCCACAGAAAAAGAAGAAACAGCTGGGCGCGGTGGCTCATGCCTGCAATCCCCGCACTTTGGGAGGCTGAGGCGGGTAGATCACGAGGTCAGGAGTTCAAGGCCAGCCTGGCCAATATGGTGAACCCCATCTCTACTAAAAATACAAAAATTGGCCGGGCATGGTGGCATGCGCCTGTAATCTCAGCTACTCAGGAGGCTGAGGCAGGAGAATCGCTTGAACCCGGGAGGCAGAGGTTGCAGTGAGCCGAGATTATGCCACTGCATTCCAGCCTGGGCGACAGAGAGAGACTACATCTCAAAAAAAAACCAAATCAAAACAAAACAAAACAAAACAAAACAAAACAAAAACAGAAAGAAAAAGAAAAAGAAGAAACCAGGATTTGCATCTTCTAAATCTCATCTTCATCTACTTTCTTTTCTTTGGTATCTATTTTCAGTTTTTTGGCTGCAGGAGTAAATAACAATGAGTTTTCCCTTTCAACTGTTGTTAAATTTGAGACATCCTGACTCTTGAGCTCGCTTTCCTCTTCTTTCAAGTCCGCATCTGCGTCTCCATCAGTTTCCTCTGGGATTCCACCCATGTCGGTAACCCCCGGGTCCCCGGGAGCAGCGGCTGTCTCATCTGGCTCCCCTGTCTCTCCACCTTTGTCCGTGGATGACTCGCAGGCATTGTCCATCGCCAATAGGATTGGAGGGGAGAGGAGATCGCGGCGTTGTCAGAGGCAGGAGCTCGAAACCCCGAGCTACACAGACTCTACATGCTTTTTATAATGGGAAATAGTCATTTGTCACTTGTTTAATTGTTTTTAGACATTTATAAACCAGAATAACCAAAAATACACTAAAATGATTTAATTTGGGAAGTGGAATTTTGGTGAGTGACTCTCCAATCCTTCGTCTATAACACAATTATTCTTTTATATTAAAATGAATGCCTTCTAGACATAATTTATATTAGGGGCTTGTAGCTCTGCCGATCATGACCATAGGAAACTAGACTGGCTTTCTGTTTGCCCCAGTAATACTAGCCTAGCTCTCATAACAGAATGCTTTCTGGGTATCCTTCTATGGTGGATCCTGAACCACATACATACTAGCCAAGGCACTTTATACAAAAAGCTAAATTCAAAGAAACCTGCCCAAAGCTCATGAAGATCGCTAATGTTTGAAACAGATGGTCTTCCTGAACAGTAATC